TTCGTTTATTTACTTACACTTCGGGAATGCATAATAAATCTAACATGTGCAACAAGCGATACTGTTGCCAGTGTGGCATGGATTTTTTCATTTGTTTTATTAAACGAATAATTTTATACAGATTGATTGATAGCAACGAATGTTACGTATTGCATAGCCCAGGGGCTCCACTCCAAGAACCATAATGTTGCCATCGAAACGTTCATTTCATATCCCTTTTCTCCTGCATTGCTTCCTAATCTTTATTCACAGATATGTAAATGAACGGGGTCTTTGCATTTTTTACGGTACGTTGTGAAGTATCTTCCAACAAATTCACAATTGTTATATACACATTTACTACTGTTTTGTGTCCATTTTGTTAATTTATAAATTAATATTTTATTATTATTGTAGTTACTGTTATAACATAACATTGTAAAAATGTAAAAAGTGGCAAAAACGTTTTCAGGATGTGTGTTCTAATGGTTGAAGGAATTTTCTATTCCTCCATTATTCGTCTAAAGGGTTGGTAATGCAATTAAAACTTATCATGAATTAATGAAACAGTGATACACGCGTCTGTTTACAAATGCACGCCACAAATTATAAATTGAATAAAATGTTTACCTCATGAAAAATTTTGAAAATTAAAAATATGAGACGTAGATAACCAACGTCCAAAGCGATTACAATTACAATTTTTTAATTTTGTAATATTTAATCTTCAAAGTTATACTACAAAAATATTAATTACCAATTATATCAATAAATATATTTCTTGTCCTTAATATTCACAATTGACACAAAATAAACAAATAATGTTAATATAAATACTGAAGACCGCCCCAGTATCATTCCTTTATGCAAATTGGCCATACACAATCATGAGAAGCTAGAAGCGAGTAAACACACATCGGGAAATATTGTGAAACGCATTTTTGTTGCGTAGCATTAACTGCGTGCATTTTATTTTTGAACAGCGTCCAACGGTTTGCAGTTTCCTAATCCTCTTAAATCACCTTATTTTAGTTCCCACGTATGTCTCTACATGAGTGTGAGGCAGAAATGTTACGTGCATACCTCTCACATATCAAATGTTGGTTAATCGCTGGATCAAATATCTGCTTAATCCACTTCTGATCATACGTTTGTCGCATTTATAGCGATATTTTCATTTTATAGCACTCTTTTTGCGCAGACTCACCAACGGCGTCCACAGTTTAGAAGCGATAATAGTTATGTTATAATTAAGTGTGTGGTATTTCACGATCGAGATTAGGAGATTTTGCCGAGATGTATAGGTAGAAAAAAATGTAGTTGTTGTTCACCAAACGAATAACTGAAAGTTGATATCGCGAAAATGGGCCTTAAGAATTGCAAAGCCTCTGATGCCTTCGTATTCGAGCAACTCCGTCGGCCGTGTGCAGCTTACGAAAATAAATTTGAATGAAACAAGCCATCATCAATATCATATTCTTCCACTCATGCTCCGTAACTGATCTTAATCTCCTGAGCATCTTGTCAATTCGTACACGTTTCTGGAGCTCTCATTTCAATAATTTTCAAAGCAGAGGGAGTTTCAGTTGTTTCCATGGCACTATTATACAAAATATATGTATGTCCTTTGTTGATGTAAATAGTTTCTATCACTCAGACGAGAAAATTTCTAATTATCAAATTCCATCAACGTTCGTTGTTATATTTTATTCATAATTCAATTTTAATGAAAAAAAGAGGATGAAGATTCCTCAGCTAAAGAAAATGTGCGCGTATTATATTGACACTCTTTAGTCTACGGCGTGCACCTTCTTACGAAAAAAACCATTAAATCCAATATACCAATATAAATATTATCGCTTGATTTCAAATTCAGCGGAGGAAGCAGGATTTCAATCACTTCCTTTGATGCCCCTCATCCTTTACGGGCTAGAGATCCATATGCTATATTATTAGTCAAAAACCGATAACCATTGTCACTCTCTTGTCTACTCGTCTCGTTCCCGTCGACATCAGCCAGTTAGCCAGCGGAGCATCCGTATACTCTGCATGTTATTGATTCACTGATGTTTCTGGGTACGTAAACTGTTGTGGTTGTTAGTCCCGACAGTGTAGTGAATGTTTTGTTGCTGGATGTGGTGGTGGTGGTGGTGGTGTTCCTGCCTCAATGGATGGTGAGATCCAGAACGGAACGACTCGTCGTCTTGTGAGGGTCCCCTCCCCAGGTACCTCTCCAGCCGCGGCAAGTTCTAGACTCCCAGAGCGAACAGGTGTTCACTCAGCATATGTGGTAGTGTAGTGAACGTAAGTGTGTGTTCGTGAAGAAAATAGAACACGGAAGAGGAAGGAAGGATTTTCACAAGGTTCTAACCCATTTGTTAGGGTACTGCTCCGCATTAGCCTGGTCTTTGGAAACGAAAATATGGAAAACTACCAACCAATGCAGCCGGACACTATAATTTTCCTCGAGAAGTAGAAGTAGAAGTTTGTAACGTTTATTCTGACACGCTGTGTAATTTCTTGAAATACGAGTAAGTACCGACGTAAGTAGTAACGTCACTGAAATATGAGTTAGTGCGCAGTAAATCGGTAAGTACTCAACGCCACCTATAGCTGCAGCACATTTGTTTCGACCGTTCTTAACAGACGGCGGACTGTTAAATCCTTAACGGACGCCGGCCGTTAAGAGTGGCTTTTCGTTCCTGCACGGTTGTGCGAAGTCGATAATATCAGCACATTATTGCGAAAAATAGTCTTTGTAGCTCAAGTAGATTGAAGTCGCTGCCCTGTCCCCAGGCCCAGGGCCCGAGCGCAGCGCGCGGGGGCGGCGGTGGAGGAGAGTGAGTGGGGGTGGGCGCTCACGAGCGGGCGGGCGGGTGTGCGTGCGCAGGGCTGGAGAGCGCAGCGACGCCTCCTCCGCTCTTGCACCGACGTGCCCACCTGCACTCCGCCCAGGGGCGCTGTCGGCGACGGCGGCGGGGGCGGCGGCGGCGGCCGCCGCGCGCGCGCGTGGTATGCCCCCGCCGGAGCGCGTCGCTGGCGGCTCGCCTTCGCGAACCGCCGCCCCCGCCGCCGCGCGCCGCCACCGCCAGCCGACACCAACCTCTAGCAGCAGCAGCTATCACAGAACGCAGGTGGCGGTGCAGAACAACGCGGTGGAGAAGGCGCCCGCATGAGCTGACGAGGAGAGCGGGCGGGTGTGATGGCGGCCTGTGCCGCAGGGGAGGTTCTGCTGCTTCAGGGGGGTTGACCTGGGTGGGTTCACGAAACCCAATCGGGATCTGCCAGCTTCTTTTTTTTACATTCACCTCCCATAGACTATCCTCGTCTCAGAGGACATCCCAAGACAATGGTGAATCACCAGCCGACTCCAACAAGTACTGGTCTCTTCGGCGATGGATTTGTCGATGCTGAGTCTCGCAATGAAGGAATTCATTCCTTACGAACCAAACAATTCTTATTAAATGTGTGGTGGTGAACAAGAAGCAAGACTATATCTGTGACGAAATATACTTGACTATATTTTTCCACAAAACTTTTTTCCTCTTATGATATCGTTAAATTAGTACAGAAAGGATTCGATTCTTCTGAACAGTGAAATGAATATTATATATGAAGTACTGATCTCTTGTGAATGTTAACATGTGAGATGACGTTTAGATTTAAATCTTTCTCAAGAAAGAGTTTTGTTTTTGGAGAAGAAGCGGCTCTCTGAAGACAAGTTGATATTTAGGAAAGAAGAGTGAATCGATTAGTGACAAAATCCAACTAACATTAGTTGTTAAGTGTCGAACTGAATCCAATAAATTTCGAGACGAAATAATTTTGTTAAATTACTAGACAAATATTTCGTACGGTAAGATACTCATGCAGGCGACCCTTTTAATAAGGTGAAGACTCGGGGGAAGAAGGGAGAGAGGGATAGTTGTCATAGAGTGCTGAAGGGAGAGTGCTGGTCAAAAAACCAGTCTGTCATGGATCTCTAACGAACAGATCAGCCTTTTAACTTTTTGATGTGTCTCTTCATGTGATATTCTCTACAAAAAGAGACTTGGAATTTTAAAAAATGCGTACGTACGCAATTCAGACATTCCAGAACTCTTTGCCATACAAATATAATGTTCGTGGTTCATAAACGATATTCACAGGAGAGAAGGGACTTACATACCTAAATGTTCCTTCACGACATCCCACAGAAAACATCCCTTCCCGAGTCCAAATCATCCGAGAGAGCATTAAGTGATACATCACACATGTGCTAGAAAATGACGAATTTGGAGTTTCATTAGAAGAATAAGAATTGTGCTGCAACTCACACATATCTGGTTCTCCAATGAAAAATGAAACAGTAAACTTTCTAAGAAACTGGAATACATGATCGCAAATGCAAAATAAGCTCCTTTAAAACCATTTTAAGTCTTATATGATTGCTCAAATGCTGAGAAAGAGGTGGCAGGAACTGATGAACTAATGTGGAGATCATTCATTTGGGAAAAATTAATCTATATGGATTTGGGAGATGGAGAATGCAATAGAAGGTTTTGCTAAGGTAAACTGTCGATTATTGAAAACATTTTCGCTTATTTTCATTACGACTCAATATTCGTTTCTTGCATGAATTAATTCGTAACGTAAATATTATTTAAAATATTGTTGGGCTGTATTACTGATACAGTACTATACATAAAATAGTTGGCAAACACTCTAATTTGAGAGATTAAGAAAACAAAATAATTGTGTTTTCTTTTAAATATGTTGAGAATATTCACAAATATCAAACTTTCCGGACACCAAACTAAACATGTAAATGAAACAAGATGTGAACAATGATTTATCAGCTTAAGACTAATGAATCATTCTAAAATTCCTTTTCAATCATCAAGCAGTCGATAAGACTACTGTTGGTTCCACATCATCAAGAGGCCGTCTCCTTAATTCACGCCTTTGTGGTCATGGTCGATGAAAAATAATGATTGTTGCTAGAATTACACCGTATTCATATTAGTCAATTTTTAACTTACTGGTGACGTTGAAATCTGGTAAATAGTAACTGCACAGCTGGCTGAATGCATGACTTTCACATGGTACCCTAGCATATAATGCAACAGGAAGATGAAGAGATTGCAGATCCAATCTGTTGTTCGTGTTTGTCTGAAAATAAAATGAATGTATATAAAACATTAACATCTATCAAAACCAGGCCAAAAGATTAATTACCACAAATATACCAACCTGAAGAGTGCAATAATGCGTTGTTTATTGAAGGACAGTTCTTTTCTGAAGGTGAACATCTGAAACAAAGATTTTTCTTTTGAAATGAGAATCTTGGCCATTTTTAAGAATCTTAATGTGTGAAGAAAAACAATAAACGCTAAATAGAACGCATTGTAACCAACAAGGTGACATACAACGTTTCTGATAAAAACTGGATCGCACAGTAACGCCATTAGAATGCAAACGTAACTGAGAGAGGAGATGAATTTCACGACCCTAATATATTCGTTTAACCTTTTGTGTTTCGATATTCTCTATACACTCAGTTTGAAGTAAATAGTCTTCTACCCGACAAAAAGGGTTGAGAATACATTAGAACTATTTATTAAACTAGTGAAACCTCATTTTTTAAAACCACTGACACGTACAACACATAAATTTGTTCGCATTACAACTTAATTAGGATTGTATCGCTAAAATACCGATACAATCTATTTCAAAATAAGTGGAGCGACATAAAAAACGTTTCTGTAGCACGTTTGCGAGACGAAAAAAGAGCTATTGAGAAAACACTCGAGGGCATTCGTGATTGGAAACGTCTAGCGCAGCACGTGTACACTGAAGGAAGGTATAAAACTCTGATTATTGAAAGTTATGGGTTGGAAAAGTTCTCTTTAGAGCAAGAAAAATTACAACTACTCATGCTTCAGACATCGAATTACTTGCCCTATTTTACAATGCACATAACACTTACAAGTTATACCTTTGTGGATTTTGTTCAGAAATCTACTTGATGAGTACTTTGAGCAACTTTGTCTTCTAAAAAGCCTTTAACAGACAAATGGTTTTCTCAGATAATATTGATCCCACTTCATGATCCCCTTCATTAAATTACTATACATTGCAACTCTGATTCTTTTCCATGATGCTTGAGATTTAAGTTGTCGGGCACGACTAATATGCAATTTCAAAACAAATTGAAACATCTTCTATGAAGTGAGATAACTGATTTTCAGTATTAATACATCATCCGGAATGTCTAACTTTTGTCTTCTACAAGTTACTGTTGTACACTTTTTTAATAAATAATTAACTGAAATGCATTATTTTTGGTACGAAACTCATGGATTCAATGACAGAATCTTGTGTAACTTAAGGTTTCGAGCACTTTTGTACATGTAGCCGTCTAGAGGGAAATGTAATTAGTAAATCCATCCACCGTCTAATCAAAAACTAGTAACATATAATAGAGTAATCTCCGAACTCAAATATCGCATCAACTCACTCAACTCGTACAAGAATCGATAATTGCTCACGATAACCCCCTCTGTGAATCACAATGTCTCTGTTCATTTAATCGCGATTTATCTCTCATTTTGTTAGAAGTTAGTTTGACCTTTTAAACAATAATGTGATAAGAACATTAAGTATGTTTGTGTGTATTTCCAGAATAATAATTGACAAATTGATTTACAAGGTGACAGCTTTCAAGTATCTTTTGTATCCCCAGGTGCCAAATGTCACTACTATTATGAAGATAGCATCTTGTGAATGAGAAAACCGCCACAAAAAAATAAGACTTGTTTTTATTGCAAGATGGTTATTGCATGAAGAAAACAACTGCCAGCAGAGTCAACCTTTCCACAAAGAAAAGTAGCATCGTGTGTGACTTGCGAAACAAGCTAAGTAACTGGAATTGGTGTTGATTTTTTCTGTTTTAGCTTATTTTCTTCAGTGCAAGACGTGTGTTCAGACATGAAGTGTGGTGCTCAAGAACGAAACTAACTGGTGAAATCTCATTGCAACATATCCTACAAGTTTTTTATCTTTTGCCCGGTCATCAATAATTAATCTATGAGGAACCATCAGGCAGAGGACAAATTGACAGCTTCATGACAGTTTAAACTCAAAGCGTATGTCAAATATATGAACGATTAATGAACTTGTAACGTCTTGTCGAGTATTGACCTTCTTTTATGGCTTCATACTACTTTAAAGAATATTTCACAGAAAAAGTTAGGCAGACATTTCAACCAAAAGTGTATCTCTATTATTATTTTCGTTTTTGAAAATAATATTCAACAGTTTAAATCTCTTAAAAAAAGAAGTCTAATCAGATAAGTATATTCTATATACACATACTGTCAGATCATTAACAACTTCATTTAACCTTCAGACAACCGCTTGACCGTCACCATCACCTCTAGTGTTTGTGCAATACGATTGAGTACACCAGGACGGCCCATTTAACACCCCCGCCCCCATAATGCGTCAACTTGATCTCCGGCGCATCATCCGGAGTAGTGGCGCCACAGAGTTAGTGTGAGTGCGCATCGATCTTCGAAGCTCGATAATAATCGGAATGACAGCATCGACGGCAGCCGAAAGGCGTCTGGCGTGCGCTCCACTGGCTTCCGACACAACATCCCTGTTCGCATACCCTCCCCCTCCAGCAGCGCGCCACAAGCAACAACAACACTGCACGCCAATGACTTCCGATATGCAGAGTACGCTTCGTTGCCCTGGCAACAGCCGAAGACGTCATCACGTGGAACGACCTTCGGCGCGCGATCCTTGCCACCCGGAAACAGGGGCGAGATTTGACGGGAATTCCGGGATCTTACTCTCCAAAGAGATTAATGGCTCCTGCTTCAACATTTTTAATGTTTCTTGGTAGGGGGTCACAATTAATTCATTATACCTATGTACCTCCTTTATGATTTCCACACATAAAAATGTTCAAAGCATCAAGGAAACTCAAAAAGAATTTACTCCCAAGAACATATTTAGGGTTTATCTGACGCTTACGCGAAAATAGTTTTTATTTTACTCGTCAATTCTTCGAGTCGAACCATTTCTCTCTCAAGGGAGAAATGGTACCCCCTTTTAATATATCCTCCCGGCTTACGGAAGCATTCCCAACTCGAATTAAGTCCGGCTGAGGACGCATCTCCAACCTCAGCATTACTTATCACTACCCCAGAGTGACTGCAACGCCCTTAATGGTTCACTCACCGCCGACGCCTCCCCGGTCGCCGAAAGGCGCACGGTCACTGCTCTCTCCGGCGTCGGCCGGCGCGCCAGCAGCGCTTCCGGTGGCGTCGTCCGGTGTCCAGCTACTCTGCACGCCAGCTGCACCACCGATAGCGTCGCCCGGGGACCGGGTGCCCCGCGCGTCAGCAGCACCACAGGTCCCCACGGCCAGCACCCAACTGCCCAGTTCCACGGCGCCCGGTGCCCAGTTGCTTCGCACACCAGTAGGGCCATCGGTGGCGTCTCCGGTTGGGCAGATGACCCGAGCACCAGAAGCGCCGCCGGTGGCGGTGCCCCGCGCACTAGAAGCGCCGCCGGGCGCACCTCCCGGTGCCCGTCCACGCGCGTCATCA